CTGTCGAGCTCTCTTGAGGCCAAGACATCAAACTCAAAAGCTGCAAAGAGGCCCAAACAAGAAGGTGAGAAAAAGCAAGTAGGAGAAAGAAGGCGGTGTCGACTCTTCCCAAAGCAGCGTCCACTTCTAAACGAAGAAAAGTTGTGCTCTAGGGAGTGACATAGAAGAAGATGATGTCATCCCTACCAAATCCAAGAAAATGTGCCAGTCTATAGCCAAGAGGAAGAAGAAGGCGGAATATCCATATTTTGATTATGACTATGAGTCTACCTTCACTAGCAAGGTTCAGTGTGTATTTTCAAGCATAATATGAAGCTTCTTAATCTTAGACAACATATTCGTGGTCACACGTCTTCTCCAGTAACATTTCAAGAAAATCATCCCTCGAGAGGTGCATAATGTTAGAGAGTTCAAGACACTCTATATACCTCCTCTAAGTAAGGGGTTCATACCAAGTAGTTTACTCTATAAAGTCGGGGAATGTGAAGACAAAAATTTGATTGGCTTTTCGAGCTCACTGATTCTGAAGAGATAATGCATACGAGAATGCCTATGTATTGCCCCAGAAATATTTAAAAAAATTTATGAAAACAAGCTAATATCAATACCAGCAGACAACAAGCTCGTCTCCACCTAAGTATCTAATATCGAAAAAATCCTCATGCATTGCAAAGAAAGGACATTCTTGCAAGAAGAGGTCTTGGATTCGTTGTGCAGAAGTACCTTTGAAAAGAGATTTGCCAAGCAATCATATTCAGGGAAGTTGAATTCGATGACAATGGCGATGAGGAGAGCTATGAAGTTGACACTTACGATAATCAACTTGTAGAAGCCAAACTTGCAACAGAAGAGCTTGAAGATAATAGATAGGCAGTTACTATGGATGAACTGAAAGAAGTCAACTTGGGAACTGATGAAGACCTTCATCCATCCTTCATCAGTTCCCTTCTACCAGAAGAACAAGTTGAAGAAATGAATGAGCTTCTCTATGAATTCATGGATTTCTTTGCCTGGACATATGCTGAGATGCCCGGCTTATCACCTAACATAGCAGTTCACAGGTTAGCCATTAAGCCTGATGCAAGTCTGTCAAATAAGCTCCAAGGATAATGAGATTGGAGATTGAATAGGTGATTGCAGAGACAAAGAAGCTTATAGATGTCAGCTTCATCTAAGAAGAAAAATATGCCATTTGGATCGAGAACATTGTCCATGTCAAGAAAAAGAACAGTCAGATTCATGTATGTATCGATTTCAGAAACCTCAACATGACATGTCCAAAAGATGATTTCTCGCTCCTAGTATCAGACCTCTTAGTGGATAATACGTCCAACTATGATATGTTCTCATTTATGAATGGATCATCAGGTTACAATCTAATCAAGATGATGCCTAGAGATGAAAATCACACGTCGTTCAGAATGCCATCGACATATTCTGCCACATGGTCATTCCTTTCGGCTTGAAAAATACTTGTGCCTCCTTTTTTTTGTGTAAACTCTTCACTCACTCTCTATCTTCTGAGTTTACTCTACTCATGGTTATAATTTGATTCACAAAGCGCATGTTTTATCGTCTCCGCTAAACCTAGTATTTGAATGAGTTGTGAGAGAGTCCCTTCTTAATACTAATCTTATTGTTAGCAATGGAATTTCTCGTTGAAACCACTCATGTATGCAAAGTAAGACTTAGTTGACTATTTAATGATCTCATCCTCTCGCATGTGTTTAGACCTAAGCTATTTTATCACCTTAATATTATCTTATCGTTTACATCAATAGAGGATTTTGCTTAACATTGCTCTCTAAAATTTACAAGTGCAAACTTCCTTAAGCAAGTCATTTTCGCATGTATTGTTTCACATCATCTTGGTATCAGAGCATGGTAGGCATGCATGACATGTGTAGAAAAACATCCTAGGGTTAAGCTTTTCATTGTAGTTTAAAATTTGCATACATATCATTGTGTAGTTAGATTTTATTCACTGTTGTACTTGCATTTCCTGCACGCATTTAGTATGGTCTAAGTCATTCTAGCTAGCGTAGGAGTGCTGCCATTAAACCTACATCGTATCTCATGGATAAGGTTGCTTTGTGAAACCATTTAACCTGCTGTCCTGAATATTCCAGCACTTTTATTTGACCTTTAGGTGACTTTAGGCAAGTGGTAAATTGCTGTCCACACCTTTTAACCCTCCCTCAACACCTAGACAATTCTATGCCTTGCAGCCGTTTGCTGTCCACATCATTCCTGCACACATCTAATGAACTGCAGGCTAGTTTCTTAAGCTTTTAGGTGCTGTCCTCAACCTAACAACCTTCCTAAGTGCCTAGGTTACTTAACCCACTAGCGTAGCTTGCTGTCCGAACAATTTTTGCACCCTTTAGTGAGTTTAAGTGAGCCTACTTGTTGTCTCAATGACGCCCCTTACACCCAACCATCTTTGAGTGTCACTTGATACTTCCCAATGGACCTGATAAGACTCCAAAAGAGTTTAGATAACATCGTTAACCTAGTGGGCACTATGACTAGAATTATGACGGAGAAACCCTTTGACTATCCCCACTCTAATTACATGCCCCACTTAGCTTATCACCCTAGACTTGAGCCTAGGCCTCCACGACCTCACTTAGAGTCACCTTACCGTCTACCTACCTTTGATGGTTCCTCGGACGCTTACTACTTTAGGGAATGGGCTAGACAACTAGATGACTATTTTGAATCATGTCATATCCCTGAATCCCACCAGGTTAGCATCGCTAAATCTCACCTCAAAGGTCAGGCTCTTCAATTTTGGGCAAGATTGGAAGATCATAAAGAGTCTCGCGGTGAGTACCCTACTTGGAAAGACATGAGGCGAGATGCTCATGATACTAAGGGTAATGAGGACTTCTTTGAGAATGAAACTGAAGTGATTGAATTGGACTCCCTGCCTGAATTAAACCTTGATTTAGGAGGTCTAGAACCTTTTAACCTTGATACCTTAGTCCATCGGGAGTATAATCTCATTAATGATAACTCTATGCATAACGTATGTCTGGATGATGTTAATGTGATCTCGACAGGAGTTGATATGATTGTGATCAGCACCATAAAATTAAATTCGAAAGTTCCTGACTTAATCATACCTCCCACAGAAATAATTATGAGTAATTCTGATTCAAGTTTGGATAATTTTGATGGCGACTTAGATAATCTCGAGTTGGAAATATGTCATTCGAATTTATCACCTAATTCAAGTGAAACGGAACCCATGGATTTGAGGGTTACAGCCAAACCTGTGTCTATGTCGGAAGACAGTACCTTGAGTCTGAAAGTTTTTTAGCCTGATTTAAACAATGAGTCTCCTCTTGTTTCATTAGAGTCTAATTTTAGAGCTGCCCATTTAGATTTATATTTGGCTGAGTGTGTCATTCCTGATTCATTCATTTTGTCCGTCTTAGCATCGTCCTACCATGATAAGGATCATCTCTATCCTAGTTGGATGAATTTGTTTGATTACACTACTACCACTAGGAGACCACTGTCGACCCTAACTGAAACTATCTATAGAAGTGTCCTGGTAGCTAAGAATGTCTTCATTTCTTCTCCTACACTAGTTCCCTTAGACTTGGAAACTTTATGTCCTCCTGTTTTGTGATTGATCTGTTGCATTCCTATTTATGTGTGTTTGTGAGTCGGTATGTTTGTGTGTTTTGTAGTCTATATCTCACAAATCTTTTTTTTTTCTTTATTTTCAACCATGTGATCCCACAATTCATGCCAATCTTCATTGCAATAAGTCTCTTGCATCAACATTTGCATTACATCTACATGACTTTCTTATGAAAATTGCACGCTTAACTGAAGAGAGCAATAATAAGTATAAACTTCATGCTGATTCTAAACAACAATTTAACTCTATTAAGGTTGGTAACTTAGTAATGATGCGGATTCGTCCGGAAATCACATGCTAGAAGTGCGGGAACATTTAGAATAGTCATTAAAATCTTTAACAACGCTTGCGTGGTGGATCTGCTTGCAGAATTAAACATTCATTCCTTTCTAACATAAAAGATTTAGTAGACTTTGAAGGTCCGGAGTTAAACCCCAAATCCACTTCAAATTAATCCTTGTGTGACCCCACCTTGTGAGAACCCAAGCCCACCCCCACTCCCAAATATTCCAAAAAAAAAAACCTATAGCGGAACTGATTGACATGAGTCTGAATGATGACATTATTTCCACAAAGAGGGTGGACGAAGAAGATATGTGATAAGGTGGAGAGGTCAACCAAAGTTAGAGGATACGTGAATTGATCGAGAGGATTTACAGAGATCGGATCCAGATTCACTTACAGCTCTACGAGAGCCTTTGAGACACCTACTCGACGGAGTCGAGTTTTCTCCCAGCCGGGGAGAATGATGAGGACATCTACATGAGTTCTAGCGCGAGGAGACTTGCATGATCTACGGCCATGATCTACTTTTGTTTTTTATTATATTTGATGTATTTTGTTTTATGTTTTATGAGTATATTGTATTTCTTTCCATGTATGCCCTTGCTTAAGGGCCTCGTCATGTGTTTGCCTTAGGGGCAATTTGGTCTTTGTATTTTCTTTATTCCTTTGGCTATTTAAGGCCTTCTCCTCTTCATGAGAGGTTGATGAATGAATATTTGAATGAAAAATTATGTTTTTTTTCTACTTCTGCTAGCATGAGAGCTTGAGAAGGGAGAGAGCTCAAGGGGAGCAAATCGCAAGGCCCACCAGTCATTGGAAAAGTTCGCGGCTCGTGGTTAAGTTAGTCTATCTTCTCATTTTTGTTTTCCTCCAACCACTTCCCCTCCACTACAAGAAAAGCCATTCAAAATCCTTGGGTTGAAACCGAGCCTAGCCTTTGCCACCACCTCCTTGGAAGCCAGCCGCCGGCCACTCTCACGGCACCGGCCGGCCACCTTGCCGGCGATCTTCCCACACCCGTCCAACCCATCTCTCCGCAAGTTTCAAATGTCAGTTTTTGATTAATCTCCCTTTAATTCCTTCCAAATCCACTACTCCTAAGTAAGGAATTAATTCAAACACTTCCCCTCCTTGCTGGCCGAAATTCCCCACAGCTGTTGGCTCATTTTTCCTTCCCAAATCCCTTCCAAAGCTGCAGGAAAACTGCTGCCCAACATCTCAATTTGCTGTTTGGAAATTCCTGCAGCAGCCCACCGACGTCCAGCCATCCCGGGAGCGACAATGGCTGTCCAGATCTCAGGGACAGCCCTTCTTCCTGTCTAGAAGTTTCCCTGAGCTCAATAGGTTGTTATCCTGTTGACCACAACAAACTAGGGTGCTGTCCAGCCGTCCAAAACCAGTCCTAGCTGCTGTCTTGAGGAGATCTAGTGTCGTCCAGCCGCCCGAAGAGACTCCCATTGCTGCTGAGTGGTTCCAGAAGTTTGAAGGCTGCTGCCCCTTCATTCCAGCCATCGTCATAGCTTCATAACTCCTTTTTTTTGGGTAAACTCTTCACACACTCTCTATCTTCAGACTTTACTCTATTCGTGGTTATAATTTGATTCACAAAGCGCATGTTTTATCGCCTCGCTAAACCTAGTATTTGAATGAGTTGTGAGAGAGGCCCTTCATAATACTAATCTTATTGTTAGCATTGTAATTTCTCATTGAAACCACTCATGTATGCAAAGTAAGACTTAGTTGACTATTTAATGATCTCAACCTCTCGCATGTGTTTAGACCTAAGCTATTTTATCACCTTAATGTTATCTTATCGTTTACGTCAATAGAGGATTTTGCTTAACATTGCTCTATAAAATTTACAAGTGCAAACTTCCTTAAGCAAGTCATTTTCGCATGTATTGTTTCACATCATTAGGTTTTGGGAATCTACAAAATTTGCATGCTTGAGCTGGCTCATTATCGCCGGCGAGCTCTCGAGCTTCATAAATGAGTGTTAAATGTTAAGATAGCTCGAGTTTCTTGAGGTCAGAACAATAAAGTAGTTTGTCTTGCCAAATTAGCCAAGGAAATGACAAATGTGGACAACGAGGAGCTTATATTGATTGGAGTCTACACCTGTCGGGTCTTAGAACCTGCAATCTTGCAATTCCCGCAGGTAGAGGGAATACCAAATTCAAGCTAGCAGGATGCAACTCCTGTTGATCCTTAATCTCTCCAACCAATTACTCCTAAAAATCAGCAAGATGAATACCAAGTAACCAAAAGAAGATGCATATCTAGCAAATGTTCAGAAACGTGGTGGTATTTCTTGGACATCGAAGAAGAAGATGATTGGAGACAACTTTTCATCGATTACTTTAAAGAAAGTAAATTCCCAACAGATAGGTCGCTGGCTGCGCAAATCAGGAAGAGGGTATTTCGATACGCGTTCATCAACAACACGCAGTATCAGCCACAACTTATATTCAAGTCATTAAGGATATGTATATATAAGTTATTACTTGTGTTCAAACACATGGTGGTTTGACCAAGTATTTTTTTTATTTCAATTGGATTACATTAAGGATCAGCTATAAACTCATTATCTTTTTGCTTTAGTCATAGATATTCTTACCAGACATTTGCAGGAGGATGTACTCAAATGTATACTTTTTGTTAATGATATTCTTCTTGTTGATAAGACTAAAGAGGGGGTTGAAGGAAAACTTGAATTATGAAGGTCAACTTTAGAGTCTAAAAGTTTTTGTTTGAGTAGTGTAAAATCAATGACATGGAATATAATTATAGTATTAATAGATCTAGAAGGGGATTATGACTTTAGACGATCAAGTTATTAAAAAGAGTATACGTTTTAGATATATTGGGTCTATTGTTCAAAGTGATGGTGAAATAAATGAGGATATTATTAGTAGAATTCAAGTTAGATGGTTGAAGTGGAGGAATGCATTGGGCCTGCTGTGTGATAGAAAAATATCCCTCAAACTTAAAAGGAAAATTCTATAAGATGGTCGGGAGACTTGCAATGCTTTATGGTGCAGAATGTTAGCCATTAAATGAGAAGCATAATATTAAGTTAAGTGTTGCTGAAATGAGGACGCTCAGGTGGATGGGTAACTTTATATTTAGAGATAGAATGCAAAACGACTATATACATGAAAAGGTGGAAGTAGCTTCAATGGCAGATAAGATAAGAGAGAGTCACATAAAATGTCAGTCTTCCGATGACCTGGTTAGAAGAGTATACGTATTATATATAGCCTATATTAAGAAAGGTAAGGTAAACCTAAAATGATTTGGTTAGAAAGTATTAGAAATCAGCTTTTTTTATTAGATTTAAATGTGAATTTGACTTTTAATTGAACATAATAGAGAAAAATGATTCATGTAGCTGATCCCACATAGTGGGATAAAGTTTTGATGTTGTTTTTGAGTCAGTTTTATTATGTGATTGCATTGAGCATACTGCATTATCATTTTGAAATTTCTGTGCTATTTCTAATTGTGCACTACTGAATTATCTTGTGTTGGATTCTTCATATGGCTTGTTTTCATTTAGAGGAATGAGTAGTCTAAATTAAGAGCTTATGAATTATGATTCTACAAGCGTGTTCGCTAGCATTTCATTGTAGATCTATTATAAAAATCTCTTAAGTCTAAGATGTCTTGTATCGCCAAGACTGCTATATTCTTTTATCTAATGATCTAGTATTTACAATTATTGTATAGTTTGATGAAAGGTAATTGAAATCTCTTGATTTGAGACTATTTTGTGGAGACACAATGCTTAATTGCTAATCTCTTTTTTATGTTCTGTTTTTGAATTTCCGCCCTCGAAACCAATGTGTCATTTTTAATTTGAACCGTAGGCTAATTGCTTGCAATGATTAATTAATATATATACATTTTAAGCATTTTGCAGAAATGCAGAATGTTTTGAAAGTTTCTGCAGACATGTATGAAAAGAGTGAGATTTAAGAGAATTATCAGGCTTGTAAAGTCCAGTAGTTGCTAGACAACTACAACAAAATGATTTGTGTAGATTTTTTTTTTTCCATGTTTGTTTCTTCTAGCTAGTGGAGCTCTTACTTGATGTCGATTGAATTCAAAGTGTTCTTAGTCTTGTTATATTCTCTTAGAATATTTAAAATAAGTTTGTTTTTTTATTTTTATGAAATATTCTTTTTTAAGTTATCACTAACTAGCTAGAGCAATTTATTAGTAACAGTTAAATATTTGGAGTAGCTTATTAACAATTATAGGGAATTGGATGTTATATAAGTAGATGTGAATGCTTCTCATGGTGTACCTGTAAAAAGTCCTTTCTTCTCTTTTTGTGCATATAATTAGGCTTTATTTGGGATGACTTTCTTACTGCTTTCTAAAGCAGTTTTTTAGTAAAAAAATAAAATTTTTGTACTAAAAAACTGCTTTAAGAAGTAGTAAGAAAACCATTCCAAATAAAGCCTTAGGCTTAAATTTGGAACAGCTTTCTTGCTGCTTCTTAAAGCAGTGAGAAAGATCACATCCTGAAACAGTAACTGCTATAGAAAGCTTTAGATTTTTTGTCATTGATTAATTGTATGAGTATATGACATCTGATTGTGATTAGGACCTGGGCGGAAATGCAACCTATATATTTTACGGTACAGAAGAGGCAAATGAGGGAAAGAGGGCTTTCATGGAGCGTCGAAGTCCTGACTATTCTAAATTCCCAAGAAGACCTTAGCATTATCTTTCTGAATCATGTTTGTCATATTCTACTGAGGCAAAACTGCTCTCAGACCATTTTTCTAATTCAGTGTAGCTAATTTAATATTTCATTGCAAACTTCAACATTCTATTTTTATTATTTTTAGCAAAAATTTATGTATTATCTAACATTTGAGTATCCATATTTATTTATATAACATTTTAGTGTCCGAATTACATCAAAATATATGCGTTAAATGATATTTTTTATTATTTTAGGCATGTTATAATAGTAGGAATGACCTTTCTTTATTAGATTTAAACGAGAATTTGACCTTTAATAGAACACAATGGAGAAAAAGGATTCATGTAGCCGACCTCATATTGTGGGATAAAGGCTTGATGTTGTTGTTGCTGTTGTATGTTATAATAGTAGAACTTTTTAGGTGATATTAAGAGATTATGGTAATATAAGATAATATAAAGATTTCGGCATTAGAATCGTTAAAAAAATAAAATTCATTAATATGTTTGTAATTCTCCTTTTTCTTATGTCCATTGTTGGTTGGCAATGCTACTGCTGATTCATTATGACTCATTAGATGTTCAGATTTGCTGTAATTAATGGCATATATTTCTTGTTTTCTTGTTGGTTAAGCTTTTTGTGAAGTGTTTATTGGTGCACTAATCTGTCAGGAGGTATAAGACTGCCATTGAACAAAGATTTTTGATAAAAATATCAGCTTTATACACCCTTGTTTTGCTAGACCACTACTCATATCTTACTCAGTGATTAGGGACAAGTAAAGGAGAATTTGAAGCAAATGTAAATAACAAAATAAATTACACAAGAACAAGTAAAAATTGTATATAAAATAAACATACATTTTCATTGAATGATAAAAAGTTCAAAAGCATTGGAATACAACTACTAAATAAACTAGATAACTAGTGCATGAAGCACTATTCTCCTAATTCATTTTCATCTAAGATCCACATGATATTGTCTTATCATAATAACAACAATGGCTCTCATGGCCATAGTAGCTGGTCTAAATTCTACGCAAAGGGACGCTTCTTGAACATGCCCACTAAAGCCTCATTGAATTCAGTTGTATAGTGGTAATGTTTTTCCTATATACTCGAGTACTGAGCTTGCCATTCCCTACCTTTGTCACAAAATTCAGTCATACGCTCCATCTGCTCCCTCAACTTAGCCAGCTACTCAACTAAAGATTTAGGTGTCCTAGAACTCATGCTATTGTTATTGCTGGGTATACTGGTCAAATGAGGCTAAGTAGGACTAGCCTCCTATGCACCTAATCTTTTAAAGCTCTCAAATTTTTAGTAAGGGATAAAATAGGAAATATTTTCTTTTCATTAGGATCTCCCCTCACACCAGCATTTATACTTAAGGTACAAATAAGAGAATGATGTCTCAAGCTCACAGAAGTAGTGCCTATAATAATATAAGTCAAGGAAGAATGAATAAGCTTATGCATGATTATATAAAGGGGGCTAATTAAAAAAATGTGATTAATAAAATTTTTTCACGTGTTAAAATTGCTAAGCCCCCTTAAAATTGAAAGCATGGCTAAGTGATTGTGCTAACTCAAATAAGAGCAATGAATTTTATATAAATGCTTGAGATTTTTGATGGTTTTATATATAAAGTACTTAGGATAAGGTATAGGTTTTATTGGAGTCGTTTAATTTTTCATAAATATAAATTCAAAAAGAGTTGTGAAAGTCACTTAAAGTGGGGTAAGAGCTCCTTCCATTTGGAGATCCAAACTTGGATAAGTTTGAAATCCAAAGAAAAAAAAAACCCTTTAGGTAAAAGTTCTTTTCATTTGAGTATTTAGACTTGGTGGATCCAAGGAGCCTGAAGGAAATAGGTGAATATAAAAAAATACTCCACTTTAAAACTTGCGTCGTTTTGTGGGAGTAGAATTTGGGATGTTGTTAGTGGTGCCCGACCACTTTTAATTTATGTAGACCCTAGGTGCTAATTAAGTGGCATGGTCTCTTTACACTCGTTTGATATTTTCTGGTGATGATTTGTTTAAATTGTTTATGCATTAGAAATTGCCTATTTTTTTAGGTTTATTGTATGCATATTGAATTTATTTTAGCATGGAATGCGATTAGTCTTTTAAGGATAACAAAAAAATTCTCTACATATAATTAAATAATTTTTTTGGCTCACATAAAAAGATAAGAACTTCTAAGAAGTAAGCTTGGGACGGGGGTTTTCATGCATATATATACTTCCTTCTCACCTTGTTAAGCACCTTCCTGCCTACGGGTCGTGCCAGACCAACTGACCTATTTAGGATGCAGCTCTATCTAGGGGATATTATGCATCTTTTAAAAAAAATCTATTTTCTAAGCCTAATTTTTAATGTTCATCATATATATATATATATTCATACAAGATCGATTAGTATGCATTACATTATAAATTAATTAAAAAAATAAAATTTAACTGCATGGAGCATAAATCTCACCATACATAAGTAAATGGGCAACTTAGGACCTTCTATAGATGTCGGCCCCCAAATTCTCCAAAAGTTGAGCAATAAATCTTACCTATCTTTCATAATGACCGAATACATGATTTTAAAGCGTCTAGGTAGTTTAGCTGGCACTCCAATTCAGGCTGATGTAAGCCCATATTTGTATTTCATTAGTTAGGTTTGGGTCACTATTATTTAGTGTCCAACTTAGATTTAGGATTCGGGGCAGACCCAAAATTATAAGTCCCCAACATCGGGAGTTTAATCTCAAATTTTTAATAAAACATCAACTCAAATTAAAATTTTCTTTTAGCTAAAATTTAAAGCCCAAAATAGGATAGATTGAGACATTTTTTAATTGTTTTAGAATCTCAATACTCCTCAATTGGCTTCCAAAATAAGTGCTCAAAATTGATCCATTTTTATTGAGATTCTCACCTCATTCTTTTCATATCACAATGTAAAAATTCTAAATGAAATTTCTATCATTATTTTAATCGAGAGTATTCATAAAAAACTTAAAATTCTTGCGATATTATCAACTACGAAGACTTGCATTTGTAAGATATTTAAGATCTCAGAAACAATAAAACTCATTTCTATTTAGGAGCTTCTATTTAGCTCCTAAATAGAATGAAAAAAGAAATTATTCTCTTTGGAAAAATTGAAATCAAAGACGATCATCATCATCATCATATTCAAGCCATAGATAATAAGTGTTATTTTCTTTCTCGAGAGAGACATCATTTATCAATATGTCTTTGAATAGACCCAAGCTGAGAAATGTCGAGGAGAATAAGACATCAACTAAACTTTCATTATTAATAAGGATCCTCTTAATGTTCTAGAAAGGATTGCTAACCCAAACATTGATGATAATAAGTGCATAGAGTTATTAAATATAATAGAGTGTTCAATATGAGGTTTCTTCAATGCTAGTTCTTTTAGGATAGCGAAGAGAACTTAAAGAACATATTAGTGGTCCTCTAAGAATGGTTTCAATTTCTCTAACCTTCATATAGCTATTTTGTTATTGCCTTTTTTATTATTGATTATGCCCCTTCGTAGGATTAGTTTTAAATGAATTGATAGACATATATCTACTGAATCAATCTTTTAATTTCTTCTTTCAGCTATTTACATAACTTAGCTATATGACTATGAACTCAATGAAAATCACATTATTTCTTTTTCATTTGATGTATGTGGCCTCAGTATGTTAAGTCGTTTAATCAATGCTTTAAAAATCGGCCCGGACCGGCCGGTTCGACCGGTTCAACCATGAACCGGTTCACAAGGCCGGTCCGGTTCAACCCTAAAATCGCTTCTGCAATGAACCGGTCAGAACCGCCGGTTGAACTGGCAAACCGGTGAACCGGTCCGTTTATTTTTGAACCGGCCGATTCAAATCTCACAAATTTTAAGTATTTTTTTAAATTAATTAATTAATATATATTAAAAACATTTAATTAAAGTTAAATATATTTTATATAATAAGTACTTTTGTCCTCAAAGCATTATGAAACATCTTCACATGACCTCCCCATGTGCTTTCTTTGTTTCAGGAATCTAAATATGCTATATAAACAATAGCAAGAAAGTGTTTCTAAGAGATGTGAGACTAAAGAAAAGAGATGAGGAGTGAATGAGTTCATAGCATATATAATGGATATAAAACCTATTTTTAAATAGATTTTTTAATTAATTGTTTTTTATGTGAGTGATAATTATTTATTAGTTAACAATAAAAATTTATTTATTTATACATAATAAAAAATAATTTATCATTAATAATTTTATTTATTTATTAATGATTTTAGATATAAATTTATAAAATAACTTTTGTATACAATATATCATAAACATGTAAAATATATTTAATCATATAATATAAAATAAGAATAATTTATATTAAATTTATAAACTTATGTTAGAATTAAATTTATATTAAATATGTAACATAAATTAATAATAATATATATTAAATTATATGGTTATATATAAATTAAATTTAAAATTTGAAAAATATTCAAATTTAAAATTATCATATTTTTATGAGTGTAAATTCTTATAATTATGAGATTTAATTTAGTTGAATGCCTATAATCATTCAAATGGCATACCCATGTTAATTAGTTATATATATATATATATATTGTAAACTTACCTTTAACATATACATATAATATAATATATATACAATGGATGTATATCAAGTTCCTATTAGTGTATTATTTTAGATATCAATCTTATCAATCATATCAACCTTTTTATTCCTTGTATTTAATCATGTAGGCCAATCCCTATAGGAATCAATCTAAATCATGTAAGTCCTATTTTCAAAAATCAGTTTTATAAAACATATGATAAGTTAGGTGGCTTTTATATAATAAGTTATCACTTCTTTCTTATCGGCATATTATATCATATCAATCGGCCTTCTCATACATCCCTTTTTATATCTCCTTACACCTCAACATTTTTATAAATTGAGCAAATGTTTTGTAACGCTAGCTCCAATGGATGGTTCATATATGAATCCTTTGATTATTAATTGCTTTTTTAGCATTTTAAGTACATTGATGACGTCAAAAAATCTAGTGAGTCTGGGCTTATTTGATTATTTTCATTGATTCACTCAATTTGATTATAAACATGCAAAATCTGGAAACTGTTTGATCCGTCATTCGTCAACTAATATTATGAGTTTT